TATAAAGCTTTTGTAGGTTTTGTTATTAGCTACAACTTTTGCTCATATCTTAAATCTGTATCTCTTATGCATCACGAACTAGGGCGGGCAGAACTTGTTACTGTTTTTCAGTGAATGTAAAATACATTCACTGAAAAACAGTAGTGGCTTCTGTTCGCTCTGGTTCATCATGCATAAGAAAAACGGATTTGACTTGTTAACAAAAGTTGTAGCTAATAACAAAACCTACAAAAGCTCTATACATCATTTTGCCGAATAGCGTTGAAGAAAAAAATTAGAGGCAAATGAATGTAAATGAATGCACGAAATGAATGCAAATGATTTTTCATGCCTGCAATCAGGTGTTGTACCTGATCAAGTCGTATGAGGTGGACAGTCCACTGTCTAATGGGATCGCTTCACATTTGAATCGGCCGTTATAGATTTTCGAGAGAAAGTTAAGTTTAAGTTTCATGTCGGTTTGTCGGTGGATTGCCTACAAAAAACGCTTTCCCTAATACAGATTAATTACAGACCGAATTGCATCCGGTCTCGCCGAACGGTGCTTATTCACGGTGCGGTGTTCGGTCGGTCGGCATCAGCAGCAGCAGCAGTGCTTTCGGCGCGTGGCGTTGAACATTGTTCTCTAGTACACAACGAAAGGCTGCAGTCCACATGAGCGTCCATTCACCGAAGAACGAGGACGAAGCCGCACCGCTACTGATCTATGCCAAGCGTGTCACCCTCGTTCCAAACAACATACAGCTCGTCAGTCGCATCTGTGTTGAACACCCTAATAGTTCACCATTACTCAACCATCACGACAAAACGGTTCGTTTCAGGACCACCATAAATTTGTTGAAGAGTATTTTCTGGACATTTCTCAACGTCATCAATCGGAGTTCAGTTCCCATAAGTTTAAATCTAACCATGTATTTTAAGGCAACATTGGAGGTGCAATTTCAAAAACCAAAGTTGTTCGCGGCATGAAGTGGTCGGATTTTGATCCAGTGATGATGGATTTTAACTCTTAATACGCCAATCGGTAGGGAATTTTTCTACGAATCCGTTAAAGCTAAGACTTTATCAATTATCAAAAGTTACTATTAGAAATTGCACGAATGTGCAACTGTTGCTATGATAATTGAATTATCACCGATTGCCTGCGAAAAGCACTTTCCCTAACACAGATTTCAAAATCGAATTCTATTCGGTCTCGCCGAACTGTGTTTATTCAATCACTGCGTGTGGTGAGTGGTGGTGTTCGTCGTCAACATCAGCAACAGCAGCAGTGCTTTCGGCGCGAGGGGGTTGTACATTTTTCTCCAGTACACAACGAAAGGCTCCCCGCAAGCAGCTAGCTATCAAGAGCCCTCGATTCACCGAAAAAGGAGGAAGAAGCCGCATCGCTACTGATCGGATTCATCAGCTTTTCGTGAGTCGCTGTGGGCCATATATGCCAAGCGCGTCACCCTTGTTCTAAACAGCATACAGCTCGCCAGCCTCATCTGTGTTGAACACCCTAATAGCTCAGCATTACTCAACCATCACAACAAAAGGGTTCAAATTCTCGCTATGACCGAATACCACATGATTTTGTCAAGTAACCCGAAACACTTCGAATTAAGATAAGGTTTTCTCCTGAACGTTAGAAAAAGCAAAAAAATCTCGAAAATCTCGCGATTGGAAAATTTTAGCAAGAAATTTCTCCAATCAATTTTTGCTTTTTTTATTATCTATCGATTCCTGCGGTATATAATTCGTGCCTGGTGGCCTCACAACTGGATCTCGAATGCCGAGCTCCATCGTCGATGTCATCAGAAGCCGATAGCAACAGAAATTCGAGAGCGAAAGTGGAGGTGGGTCGGCCACACACTTCGACGGGGCGGAAACGAAATCTGCAAGCATGCGCTGGATTGGAATCCGGCAGGACATCGCAGCAGAGGCAGACCCAGGGGCTCATGGCGGCGGAGCCTCAATAAGGAAATTAAGCACGTCGATAGAAATCTGACCTGGGCCCAGGTCAAGGCAAAAGCGAGCAGCCGCCCAGGATGGAAGTCTTTCACGTTGGCCCTTTGCACAGCTGGTGGTGCACAGGACCCTTAACTAACTAACTAAAATAAACCAAAAATTCCGTGCGTTTTGTGCACGAAAATGCATAATTTTGTCATTAGAAAACGAGGTGTTCCGTGATGGGAAAAAGTGGTTTCCCTAACACAGTCGCCGAATATTGATACCGAGCAAGTAATTCTACGTCAAAACTACGGTCGTGTCTTAGATACAACCTCTTTCTTTTTTTTTATTCAGTTTAACACTTTTGGGAACTCCCGCGTCTCCTTTGAAAACTGGATTAATTCCGGTACCTTTTGAAAACATCCAGAGCTGATGGAACTCCGAGAGCTCCATGAAGTTTTTCTAGTAGCCACTTCAAACTGTCTAAACTTTCCGAGCACTTCGAACTTCCCAAATTTCGGGAAATTTGATTGTTTAGGAATGTCGGTGCTGGCAACATCGAACACAACAAAGCTGTTCGGAAATCCTAGATTTACTGGAACACCGAATATTCAGAACTGGGTGATCTCATTGTAGAAACTCCCAGATGTCTAGAAACTTTAATTACTTCGGCAATTTCTGGAACTTTTTGGAAACGTCCTGAAGTGTCGGACTCTGCGTGCTGCAGGAACTCAAATAACTAACAAAAGCTCCCGATAATTTTGAAAGCCTTGAATGCTCTTGAAAGTCTGGATTAATTCTGGATACTTCCAGTGATGCCAGTAGAGCTGCAACAACTCATTGAACTTGCTATGAGTTTCCTGAAAATGGAATCTTGAGAAACTCTCGTAAGTCGTGAAACTCCCCTACAATAATTCATGATTCCGACTAGATTCATGTCCCTAGCGAATAATTATATGAAGTTTCATGGGATTTTTAGAGGTCTAAAATTTGTTTATTTTTGCGCTCTTTAAAGGACTCAGAGGGCTTTAGAAGCTTCTGGTGACGCCGGTGGGTATCCCAGCCCAATACACAATGGCGGACGCCGTAGAGGTGGCCTCATCGGTTGGAGGTTATGTAGTCCGTGGGTATGGTGATGGCTCTATTCCATAGATGTGGAATTCAACCGGCCGAATTCGACTTCTGTTTGTTAACAGACTGACGATAAACTTTCTTAAGACCGATCAACATGCCACTTCGTCTAATTTATTCCAGTAGTTCTTTTGTAGTGTAATGTGGTAGCAAGTGTAGTGCACTTAAATTAGAAGCAGGTATTTGATTGGGTATTCTAATTTGAATTCAAACAAAAAGAGACATACAGAAAACGATAAAACTTCCGTGCATCAAAAATACAGTAACATTTGCCATGTGTTTCCGGATTTTTCTCTGGGATTCCAAATCCTTTGATGCCCCTGCAATGTAACATATGTAGCATTTGTTTTTAAAGCCACCGTAAAGAAGTTGCTGTTCCGATTGAGAAAAATAGTCACCTCTGCGATTTCCTTCTTCACGTACACGGCTTCTAAAATTCGATATTTCAGAACCTATCTCAAACGATTTGCTTACATTTTGTTTGGTGATTTTACGTAGAAATATCAGAATAGTTTCTAAACTCTGTGCATATCTAATGTTGAAATTAAAAAGATCATACAAACATTCAAAGTCAATTTCAATAATTGCTTACTCTACATCCTACAAAAAAAAAACGAATCAAAGAACCCGAAACACGAAGCCACCTCCCAAGTGACTAATTATAAGCTTCTCAGTTGAATGACTCGTTTCTTTAATTGGATTATCTCACATCTCGTAAGGCCGACTAGCTGGACTCAACTGGCACGGCGGAGACACGTGTTATAAATTCCGTAGATTTAACTGCCATTATTAGTAAATCTTTAGCGTGGAGCGAAAAAAAATGGAAAACACTCTTTCCGAAATCCATGCCATAAATACTGTAACCTTCCATCACAGAAGTCACCACCATCGGCAACGAAACACGGGAACTGAGGAAAAACAGAACGAACCCTTACTATACCATGTCAAAAAGACGTGAGTGAGAAGACATCGTAAAATATGACGATTGCGCGCGTCAGACAGAAGGCAAAAACAAGCAGATCACCGCCACCAGAACACTCAATCTTTCCATTTTTTCCACTTTCAGAAGGCGTTCGAAACAGTTCCACAGCACACTACTAATCCTTCTCAATTACATTCAAAATATACTCATCAAAAACGATAAATTTCCTGAAATGATATCTTTATTGGATGACGCGTCGCCTCTTCTGGGTGTCGTTTAAGTGCGATCGCGTCCGCCGTTGTTGTTTGGAAAAAAAAGGCATGTGAATGAATCGCTCCACCGGCGGCGTGGAGCCGGGTATGAGGATGAAGCGCAAACAAATAGGATCATAATCGGCTTCTTAATACACACCCGCGGACATAATTTATCAGCCTCTCGAGAGGTGCAACTCTTCTACTATAAAGTCGTTATCCTCTCGAGAGCTTCGGCATTGTTTCAACTCACATAACTAGTGCCTTCCATTGCCTACTTCAATGACTCTGATAGCACCTGGTGACGCTTAGCAGCAGCACTCCAGTTCAGTTTGATCGCAGGAGTCATGTTTTGCCAGACGGTCTGCCATCATGGGTTGCCATGGCAGCGGAAATGTTTCGAATCTGAATGATCCTGCCCCGAAGCAGGCAGGCAGGCAGGCAGGGCAAGGGGTCGGGAAGGGGCAAAACATGCATATCGTGGAAATAGACCGTGACAGTTTCTTGTCTTCATGTGACAACTGTCGCCGCGCCGCCGCCGCTGCGACACACATCGTCCGCTGTAAATGAATGTTATTTTAAATCGAAAAATGCACCCCGGATGAACGGATGCCCGAACGTGCCAAATCTTTGTTTATGCGTTGGGATTATCCATGGGCCCCGGAGAAGGAGGATGGAAAGAATGCTCCTCGCATGGCTCATTTGTTGCTTAAGGTTAGGGTCGTCGTCGTCGTCGGTGTCGGGGTTTGACAGATAGTTCCGAGTTTGAGCTTATTTTTGGTTTATTGTCTTCCGTTACAAATTTCTGTGACTTGGGCTTCAATTAGGCGTAGAGAATGGAATGTATCGACTTGGGTGGGACCTCAATGTCAGTTAAACCTCGTTCCGGATCGCGGATCTTCAGCTCACACGGACTGGATTTTCTGAAAGGATTAAGGAAAATTCGATTCACCATTTGTGATTAATTATATTAAACGAAAAATCAAAGCTTACTTGTTGTAGAAAACTAGAACCGTGCGGTTGTCAGGTCGCGTAAAGCCTACTACGAGCATCCCGCTGTCGTCGCTTGTCACTTCGAATCGGATCGAGCCTTCTGTGATGAACCTCGAGTAATGTCCCAGCCCGTAGAAAATCGGTTGTTTGTACAGCTCGTCGCCGGTCGTTCCGTTCACAACGACCGCCGTCTCCACATAGTTGTTGGCGTAGTTTGGACCTCCGATCTCGTTCAACAGTAAATTCCAATCGATCCATCCGTGAACGCTGTGCTGAAGGTCTTGCATTATGTAGGTTATGTAGGATTCAGCTCGATCCCAGGAGCCCAGTATTGGACGGTGCGTTTGAAATGGCTTATCCCCGAGCGACGCTTCCGTGTTGAAGATCAACTTGCCCGGATACAGGCTGGCGGCTTGATCCAGCAGTCCAGGAGGAGTCACTCCATCCCAGTACCAATGGACGGCCAAGCCATCCACGTACTGCGTAGCATTAGGATGACCCTGATCCATCTGCGAGAACCACCAGGGAAACGTATACCGCTGATCGTCTCCAGCAAACAATTTGACGTCCTTGAACTCCGAATTCCTCAGCGCAGGGCCCAGGTTATTACCGACCCATTTTCCTTGATCCGTTGCCACCCAACCCAAGCTCATGAACCGGACGAAAAAGAAGCCGATCACGGCATTCATCGGTTCATTACCGGTCGATATCGCCCAGTAATTCAAACCAGCCTCCTTCATCAACTGCAGGTACTTGATGTGGTAGTCGGCCCACGTTTGATAGTACTCCGGCTTGAGCCGACTCGAACCGGTCCAATCATTGTTCGTCTTCATCCACCTCGGTGAACTCCACGCTGCTCCCATGAACTTGATCTCATGATTATCGGACACCTCCATAAGTTCCTTGATTTGCTCGATCTTCACCACATCTCGCCTATCCAGTTCGGTAAAGTTGGATAACTTGCCATCATTCACCGGTGCCTCATTGTAGGCCCACGGTTTCAGATCGAAATCACACCCTCCGATCGGGATCCTCATCAGATTGTATCCGATTCCAACTTTTTTCGAGTAGTACGATCGATAGATACTCTTCCTTAACTCCGGTTTCAACCGGCGCAAATTGTACGAAACAGCCCCGGTAAACGCCCCTCCAAATCCAACCATCCGCTGATACTGCCTCTCCCGATTCAGCTGAATAGTGACCGATCGCGTACTCCTTCGCACTATCCTTTGCTTCGGCACCATGACTACCGCCGGCAAGAACGTGACATTGAGATTGAATACCTTCACAAACTTCCCCCGTGATTGTGCGAATCGGGCTCCATCTCGGCTGCTGGAAACCAGCATGAACTCCCCCGACTCACTTGGATCCTCGAACTGCAACGTATCGCAGTAGGTCACATTGCACACGCACACCGAACCGGTCGGGTACTGACGTAACGCACATGGAAGCGACGCCACTGTTGGAAACAGACATAACCATCAAGAGTTAGGTACACAACTTACATCATAATCTCACGTTCGCACTAACCTGAATCGAAGTAACCGTCGCCGATCACCAAGGTGACGAATGTTACGAACAGGAACTGCCTCAACATGCCTACTGGAACCAAGTTCAAGGTTGTTGTTCTCGTGGAAGGCAACGGCCTTATTTTACACTGCATTACATTGGATTTGTTTGACAACCAGTTTTTTCTTTCTTTCAAATATTCGCGCAAATTGTGACTGCAAGCTGACCGTGTGTGTTGTCACAATCGTGTACCGTAAACAACTGGACGAGCAAAAGGTTTCGGAAAACAAAAACGGCAGTGGAACGCACCATGGCTGGGAAGCATAAAGAGAGAGAGAGGGAAAGTACTAGTTTATGTGGTGTTGATAACGAAGTGATAGGAGATAACAGTGGGAAGAGCCGGCGCAGGTGGTGTAGTGGTAAGTGTAGCTGCTTTCTCACCCAAATGGGTCCTGGGTTCAATTCTGATTTTTCTGAAGCATAAAAATCTCTGGTCACGCCTTCCTTCGGAAGGGAAGTGTAAAAGCCGTTGGTCCCGGCCCATGTGTGTTGAATGAATGGGTGCGCGATATCCTACGCAGGCGTGTGTTAGCGTAGATGCCTTCCTTGCACATTCGATTGCCGTCAATGGATGGCAATCGATGTCCGTCGGTGATTGGCACTAGATTGCGGAACAGAGACCACAGAGACCGATGTTAAAGCTAGACCAACAATTGAAATAGGCGGAACAACTAAACGTAAACAATGGCTTTAAACGCAAATTTCTCGAGAATCATAATACACCCACGCAAACTAACAATGCCATTCGATAAAGGAGATTTGCGTTTAAAGCCATTGTTTACGTTTGGTTGTTCCGCCTATTTCAATTGTTGGTCTAGAAATAAAGGAATGAATAAGAAGAAGAAGAACAGTAGGTAGAGAGCGAATGAATGAGCAGTGAAGTTGTTAATTCTGACTGACGAGGAGTTTAAGCCTAGACCAACTATTGAAATAGGTAAAAACTAATCCTGGTTGTATCTCTTTTTCATTTGCATGCATTCCGGGTGACGAGCGAACATGATAAAGAAGATGGCTTTATCACAGAGCCCCGTCTCGGAACGAGTGTATTGTTGAACGACATGGTCTTCGATTCAAGATTGGTTTCTGTAATGATAAGTATCACGATCTTTATCGAAATGTAAGTGTTATTGACAATAATCATAACAATCAACTCGTATATACATTGAAATACATAAATAAAAGGGAAGGGACGGTCCAACAGGGCACCCGATTGAAGCGATTTGGACGGGGAAAGTGGGAATGCCAACTCCCTGTTGATAACATTTCGTGGATAAAGGGTAGGCTCTTCTCCCCACTCATTCAGGCATCTTCCTGTTTGGTTGCTTGTCTTTTTGACCAATTGGCTGATCAAGTTGCTGGAAGGAGATGCTTTATTGTTCCGTAGATGCATATAGGCGACTTTGCCTATCGATCTACCTTATCCGTTTTTGGCCTTCATACAGCGACATGTTGAGGACAATCAGAGGTTATTGAGCTTGATCAAGACAAACATAGAAGAGAGCCGACTGCTGTCGGACTTAGTTTCCATGCTACAATGGGTGGTAAACCACTATCATCATCAGTAATCATATCAATTAATGATTTCTGTAAAAAATTCTACTTCAGTTGGCTAGTATTTTGATTTCTACCCGGTCATAGGTAGCTTCATTTATTCGCTGAACATTGTTAGCAGCGAGAGGAGCAGGGCGTCGGTCTGAGATGACCACGTTGGTCATGACGAGAGGAGCAACACAATAGTTGGGTAAAGAAGAATTGCATTATAACACACCATCTACTGGAAATGCTCTCGCAAACGTGGGGCTTTAGGTAGTGATGAAACGTCGCTAGAACTATTCCACAGCCGCAGTCAGTTATGAGCAAAAGGAGGACGCACATCTTTTGCCTGTAGACTTGAAAACATACTTCAAGTCTCCGCGTACATCGTACGGGCTAGGCAAAAGATGTGCGTCTGACTTTAAAAACTGTCGCATTAATGGCCCTTCGCTCATTTTCAACTTCTATTCAATTTTTATACTGCCGTACTCTAACGGAACTATCCACCTACCCTCTTCTAAAGATCATTCACTAGCTAAAAAATTATCACACTAAAGCTTCATGTTAGCATTTCCAACCAACTCTGAAAATCGCTAACTTCGCGTATGAAGCAACATAAAAACACTTTGAATGTAGATTTTTGGTTTTCACCACAATATGAACAACTTCTTAGGATCTTCCTTCACAGGACAGTCGTCCTTTGCGTGAGAAGAATCACCACAATTCATTCATTTAGCTGGCACGTAGCAATTTTTGGTTCCGTGACCCCATCCATGGCACTTACGGCACCCTTTCCCTTTTCACTCGGACATGGAGCATTAGACTGATGCAAAATTTGACTTTTTCGCTCCACAGTTCTTAAATGGTTTCAAATCGGGTCCTGATTAGCCTCTCAAAGTTACAACTCATTTGGTTAGAAACAGACTTCGCACAAGCCATTTGAAGTTTACATGTAAATTACTATGGGAAATCTCAACTGTTTGTTCAATGCCTTCTAGTCTTTTTCCATATTGAGCTGCGGAACAGTTCGATAGCCATTGTTATAGAAAATTTTCTCAGCTACAACTTTGCTCAAGATTGTTTCTATGTAAAACGAGATAGGAAAAAGTTATTAATTATTTAAGAGATTGGTAAACTTATGACATGATCAAGCAGCTGCTCTGTAGGCAACACTGTATTTTGCAGTGTGACATAGTAGCCATGATTTTTGTGTCCTATTCAACGCCCCAGAAACACCAATGTTGCCTGCTGAGCAGTTGATTGAGCATGATCATAAGACATCAGCGCATTGAACCATTGATAACTTTCAATCCTTGCATTTAATCAAAAAGTGGTCTTGACCAAAGTTGTAGCTGGGAAAATTTTCTACAAGTACAGTTGAAAGTTTTTGAAACAGACCGATATGGTGAATTATTAGATAGACATGAACAAAAATCTTGGTTTTACCATAGTAATTCCCATACAAACTTTAAATGGTTTGTGCCATCTCAGTTTCTCACCAAATGGGTTCAAATTTTGAGAGGTTAGTCAGGATCCGATTTGGAATCGTTTAAGTATTGTGGAGCAAAAATTTCAAAATTTGCATCACTCTAATGGAGCATATACACTTAGAAAAATTCATGTAAATTTAGGTGCTCTGAGAGTAACATATACGAGCGTCAATTTTGACATAAATTTGAGTCACAAATGACGCGAAATATAGCTTAATCAAATGTACTTTTCGTCTAGCAACGAACTTTTCAGTCTCAGAACACTTAATATTACATGACCTGTTTGTTTACGTCTCATCTTTTATGTCAAAGATGGATTCCGTCACGTGTAAAATTAGTTATTTCTAAGTGTGTAAGGCTAGCTTTTTCCAAGGCCTTAAGGTTGTTTAGGTCACTAGACTTGGAAGTGAATTAAATAAAAATCATTAGAAATCCCGTTGCGCGAATCGCCAGGACGGGATTTCATTTTCATTTTGATTACTTGGAGTGGCACAACTCCAAGTCATTTTGCCAGTTCATCTTTGATCTGAACCAGGGATTCGCCACTCTGCCTACCTTTGTTGATTTGTTTATTTGTTATGTTTGCATCAACAGACTAGAAATAGTCCCAATGATGTGTTGTAAAAAAGTACAGGTTAAACAGACTACATAGCGGTGCCGGTGGTGTAGTGGTAAGCGTGATTACCTTTCACCCCAGCAGGCCTGGGTTCAATCCCAGTCGGCGCCGCCGGGATGTTCTGAGGCATAGCATCTCTGATCACGCCTTCCTTCGGATGGGAAGTAAAGCCGTTGGTCCCCGGTTCATGAGTTGATGGGTCGATAGGTAGTAGGGTCCAGGTGTGGGAGCTGCCTTCGGTCAGCAAAAAAGGCACAGAATCTTCAGCGAAGCATATTCCGTGTCAAGTGGAAATCAAACATCGACGCTACTCGGTTGAACACTCGCTGCAAGCCGTAAATAGCGCTCCCTAACCTATAATTAGTTCGAAGAAGTGGAAGTCTTAGCATAAGACTGTTGCGTAGTGATCGAGGTTGAACATTAATGTTCACTAATGATCGAGGTTGAACATTAATGTTCGACTTCGCACTCGATTCTTCCTTGCAGAGTATCGGCGACGGTTAAGGCTCTGAAAACATCTATTCGGATACGTCAGGACTTGACATTGATCAATTGACAGCGATCGTAGCTTGGAAGACGAAGTGAATATCTCCAAGGCAGCTTACGGAGCGTGAAGCGAAGAAAACTTCGTTGCACAGATTCAATTCGCTCGGCATTGTAGTTCGCAGAGCAGTGTTCCAACGTAGATCGCACGAGAGAGCAATAGAGCGATTTCAAGCAGTAAATGTCTGTGAAGTTCTTAGTAATCTTGAAGACAAAGACAAGATTTCTGGACGCTTTGTCGACGACATACGATATATGGTGTGAGTATGTCAGCTTTGCGTCCAGAAAAAAACGCCTTTCACGCAATGCACCCGTTCGATAGTCGTGCCTAGTAGTTTGTAGTTGAAAATAATCGGTTGTTTCTTACGTGAGAAAGTAATGATTGTAGTGAGCGGATGCGCAGAAAAACTTTCAGATCGTCTGCAAACGAGAATCATGGCCCTGTGATAACATGGTGAACGTCGTCGAAGTAAAGGAGAAATACCAATGGTCCCAGATGGCTACCCTGAGGTATACCGGACTTTGCGCAGAAGCTTGCTGAGCGACAAGTACCCAAAGTTACTGTCAGTTGGCGCTCCGTGAGGTATGAACGAAACCATCTCGAAAGATTTCCACCCCAGATCCCTAGCCTATCAAGCTTAGCGATCGCAATTTCGTGGTTCAGCTTATCGAAGGCTGCCGTAAGATCTGTGTAAATAACGTCCGTTTGGGTCCGAGCAATCAAACTGTCTGTGATGTAAGACGTTAGGCACAGCAGGTTCGTAGTTGTGGAACGCCCAGTTATGAATCCGTTTTGATCTATACTTAGATATTGCTTGCAATGCGCATTTAGGGACTCTATGACAACCAATTCAAAACGTTTTGATACAGCACTCAGCGACGTGATTCCCCGGTAGTTGTTTACGTCGCGTTTGCTTTCCTTTTTATGAACAGGAAACATATCCGCAGTCTTCCAGCAAGACGGAAAAATACCGCTGGAATAGGCGCGCAGTGGATCTAAAAGACTAGTGATGT